CTTTCTCATCCCTCTCTCTTTCTTCTTCACACACCATATCCATGGCGAATAATCATAGCCGGAGAAGGCACGCGGATGATGAGAAGAGGCGACGTCGATGAACCTCCAACAGAAAAGAAACGAATAAAGCGGAAGACAAAGTCCAATTGCAAAAAGAGACACCAAGCAAGATTCGGATTTTGTTCAAGACGAAGAAATCAACATGGACGAGTTGAGTCTCGACGAGAACTTCGTTGAAAGTGAGAGATGGAGTTTAAAAATCCCGGTCGGCGGCCGTTGATGATGGAGCTTTCAAGCCAGAGATGCGATGGATCCATGCAGTTGTTTTTTAAAGACGACGATAGACTCCAGCGACTGCGCGGGTGGATGACGGGATATAGAGAATGGGGTGTGCAGAAGAAAGGAATTGATTTCTGAAATTTGAATTTTGTGCTCTAATATTTTTTTTGTTTATCTTCTGTATATAATAACAAGATTGATTTATCTTCTGTATATTTGTTATGTATTTTTTTATGTTGTCTCTATATAATGAGTATAACTTTTGTTTATATTCTGTATATAACCACAAATCGTGTATTTTTGTATGTATTTAGAAGATGACGTTGTTTGAAATTTAAATTCATTATCTTTCTATTTGTATTAAAACAAATTCCTTATGCGTGTGTGTGGATGACGGGATATAGAGAATGAGGTGTGCAGAATAAAGGAATTGATTTCTGAAATTTGAATTTTGTAGTCTAATGTGTTTTATGTATATATTCTGTATATAATGACAAGATTGATTTATCTTCTGTATATCTGTTATGTATTTTTTTTTTCTGTCGTCTGTATGCAATGAGTATAGCTTCTGTACATAATCCTGATCGTGTATTTTGTGTGTATTTAGAAGATGACGTTGTTTGAAATTTAAATTCCTTATCTTGCTATTTGTATTAAAGCCGATTCCTAATTTGTAGGATATATAAACTTACCATATATATATATATAGGGGGTGGATCCAATGATACCACTCCTTAAAATGAGTACGTAAGACTCAATCTTAGCCACTCATTTTGTCTAGATCAATAATATATGTTAATCAATTAAAATATACATTAATTAAATAATAAAAAAAATTATCAATTGACTCCAACGTTGACTGTTGACTCCGATGTTGATCGTTGACTCTGGCGTTGACCGTTGACTTCCGACGTTGACTTCCGGCAAAAATCGTTGACTTCCGGCGTTGACCCGTTGACCATAATATGTATTGTGTATGAGTAAATATGGTGAGACAAAGTTAGTGTAAATATGTTGCAGGGTTAGTTGTTTTTATTTGCAATGTTTAGTTGTATTCAGTTTGCAAGGTTAGTTGTCTGTAGTTGCAAGGTTAGTTGTCTTTAGTTGCAAGGTTAGTTATGTCTAGTTGAAAGGTTAGTTCTGTCTAGTTGTAATGCTAGTTTTCTCCAACTGCAAGGTTAGTTGTCTGTAGTTGCAAAGTTAGTTCTATCTTGTTGCAGGGTTAGTTGTTTTTATTTGCAATATTTAGTTGTATTCAGTTTGCAAGGTTAGTTGTCTGTAGTTGCAAAGTTAGTTGTCTTTAGTTGCAAGGTTAGTTGTCTTTGGTTGCAAGGTTATTTGTCTCTAGTTGCAAGGTTAGTTGTCTTTGGTTGCAAGGTTAGTTATCTTTAGTTGCAAGGTTAGTTCTATCTAGTTGCAATGTTAATTTTCTCTAGTTGAAAGGTTAGTTGTCTGTAGTTGCAAAGTTAGTTCTATCTTGTTGCAGGGTTAGTTGTTTTTATTTGAAATGTTTAGTTGTATTCAGTTTGCAAGGTTAGTTGTCTTTGGTTGCAAGGTTTGTTATCTTTAGTTGCAAGGTTAGTTGTCTTTGGTTGAAAGGTTAGTTGTCTTTAATTATTCTTTCATACATGATGCATACTAAGGTCAACGAGTCAACGACGGAAGTCAACGGTCAACGTCGGAAGTCAACGGTCAACGTCGGAAGTCAACGGTTCTCACCGAAAGTCAATACCGGAAGTCAACAGTCAACGCCGGAGTCAACGATCAATGGTCATAATAATATTTAAATATTAAAAAATAAAGAATTAAATAATAAAAATAAAAAATTATTATTTAAATCAATATCTAAATGTTGTGGCTAGGAATGAGTGTCACGTCTTAACTTTAAATAAGCGGATGCATTGGAACCAATATATATATATATATATAGAGAGAGAGAGAGAGAAGGGATCATATGAGAAAAGGAGATAGTGAAAGAAATAAGAATAATTGTAGATCACTGGATCTATCAAGTCAATGTTCAGGATCAAGTTAAAAATTAATAATGCAGTCAAACATGGAATGACATTATGGTAAATAAGTGGACACATTAGGATAAGATATATGTATTTGACCATTATTAAGGACAAATATGTCATTTGCTACAATGCCACTTGCCAAGGGGCCCACCACAAACAACTCCCCACGTCTTCTTCCTCCCAGCCCCACACACCCTTTCATCTCTCTCACACACACACATTCAAAACACACACACTCTACACACAGACACACACATCACACACTGCACACACCAAACGATTCACGCACACCTCGGACCACCAGTTCGCCGCCGCAGACGCTGCCGCCATCTCGTCCCTCGACCTCCGCCGGTCCAATCGACACAACAACCGTCCTCCGTTGGACCCTAGACGGACCATTGAACACACCAGGCCTCGCCTCGCCCTCGCCCGAAGTATCATCCCGTCGCCGCCGTCTTCCCGGCCAATCCTGTCGCCATTGCCACCATATCCGCTGCTGAAACAGTACTGTCGAGCACCCCGGTGAAATCGAAATGTATGAAGATAGAGGCGTCTGACATCGGAAACGTGGTCTCCGGTCAATGAATGTTCTCCGGCGGCCGCAGGGTGATGTCCTCGACGGTGGCCGAGATGAAATGCCAGGAACAATTGAGCGTGTTTTCCAGATTTCGGATAAAGACCTCTTGTTGTGAATTTGAAAAGTCTTAGAGGCATATGTGCTATTTTCAGGAATTTTTGGATATTGTAATTTAGTTCATAGGTGAATTTGTAATTAATCAAACTATTATTAATGTTTTTAATATTTCAATTTAATGTTCAGTAATTTTTCATTTTTTGTGGCTGAAAATTAGTAATAATTTACATTAAAAATATAATAATAAAATTAATAATTTGTTTTTACATAGTTCGGTTGTTCGGTTATCTAAATAAAAAAAAATCCATATATAAAAAATTAATTCGTTCCGTTTCAATAACTATTATGTAATTTGATAATCATTAACATGATTGATTTGCACCGAATCAAAACAACGTACATAATCAAAATAATTTTTTATTTATATTATCATTATATATATATATATTTTTTATTTTTTTATTTTGTTGAAAAAAACTAAATTATATCCGACAAAATATATTAAAATTATGTGTCGACCTATTGTTTAAGATGTATGTCGTTGTATTTTATTAGGATTTATTGACATTAATTGTGGTGTGTCGTGATAAAATGCAACGTATTACATTATAAAGTGCGACGATTTTGTTTATAGAGTGCAACGTGACGATATATAAAGTGTACTATTGTAATTTAAGTACCTTAGCATGTATGTATTTTTTGTGTACGAATGGTGTGATGGATGTTAGACTATAATGTAGATACATTTTTTAAATTTATGAACATGTGGTATATTGGCAGAAGCTATCAACGTCAATTGTGGATCTGTATAAAGTGCAATGAGTTGGTTTTTTTGTAAAATCGAGAGTGTAGACGTTAGATTTGGTGATACCACAGCCCCTTTTATAGGAAAATACCTGCCCGAAATGCTATGCTCGGGTACCCGTAGGCAGCCTGTCTGGCTGTCCGGATTTGATACTTATCCATATCCTAATCATCTCTTAGTCATCTTTACATTTCTTCTTATCCCTTCAAGATTCCTTCTTATCCTCTATGAACATTTGGCGTTAGGTCTTGATCTTTCTCGAAAACATCCGTTCCACCATCTACCCCGAGCTGTGAGATAGGTTAGGTCGCCCTTAGGAAGTGGAGGTTGACTTAAGCTATAAGCCAAGGGTCGAGCATTCGATATCCTCTCTCGAGGGTTAAGTTACCCCTGGTCCCAAATCGTTATCATTTAAGTCGTCTTTTAAGGCTTCCAGGTTGTAGTATGGCATCATCGAGCTGCTCCACTAGCTTATTCTCGAGGTCGACTTATTGTCGTTGATCTTCTCTAAAGACGTCCTACTCGAGTCCTCTTCACCCACAGTTGACCTCCACACACTTAGAAACAATCTAGTCCACTCATCATGACTATATCAGAGCTATTAGGCCATTTTTTTTATAAGGGTATTATTTGAATTCAATTTTCAATAAGTGTAGTTTGATTGAATAATGTTGGCATATGCCAATTAGGCTTGCTTTTAATACTTTTATTAAATTTGGATATTGGTTTGTTTTTAAAATTTAGAAGTTGATGTCTAGTTTATGAATGGTTTTTGGAATATGTACTATTTATGGTTTATATTTATTTGACTCGCATTATACAACTGGACTATTAGTCTATTTTTAAATTATTTCGTTTATTAATTTTGGACAACATGACTATGTTGTTTCTAGATTATTGTTTCTAAGCAATAAAATAGTTTTACCTTATTCAAGAATACATATACATATATGTATAGAATGAGCAAATGCAATTCTAGAACTAAACTACATCATGGTAATATCAAGTTAACATAAGTATATCACTAACAACCGTAAGGTAGTNTTGTACTATATGCATTAATCTAAATAAGCATAAATTGAATCTATATGGTTGTGACTAACACATACTTAATGTTTAATAATTTGTATACTTATCCTGTTTGAAAATAAATGGATTCAATTAGTTGTATGAGCTCGACTCTTTTAAGTAAATGAACGAGTCAAGCTTAAGCTTTGAAGAGTCGAACCAAGTGGTTTACGCGAATCTGATTCAGTTACTCTACTTTCAATTTGCTGATGCTCATGCTAAAACTTCATATAGATTCAATGTAGTTTTATCTTCAAGGTTAGAAACTTAATATACACTTCCCAACATAAATACCCACCAATAACACACAAGCGTTGACAAACATCTCTTCATAACATAGGATTCCCATGGAAACACCAAAACATATTATTCCACTAATTAATCGTTTATTCAGGCCTCTTCAAATAAACTAGAGTCTCCTTATAAAATCATTCATAATGGAACTAAAATGATGCGCGTTCCATTACCGTTGAGTTTAGTCTCCATATAGAATCATTCATAATGGAACTAAGATGATGTGCTTTCCACTCTTATCTCTGCTTACTATAACGTAGTATTCCATAGACATCAACAATGCCTGGAGGGAAAATGGGATCAGTTGCCGCTCTCACAGCAACTTTAGCCACAGCAGTGACATTAACCGGTGGCGTGAGTAAGGGTCCGACCAGTGGGACTTGGTTCAAAGGTTTCGTATGCTGAAGCACCTGCACGGGTTTTTTAATACTAAAAATGTGAATATGATAACTGCCAGCAATTTACGTCAACATGTAGGATGTGAACAATTTCTTGAAAGGTTTAACTATTGAAAGGTTTAACTAAATTCAGGCTAATTAAAATGTTGTAATATAATAATAATGATGATAATAATAATAATAATACCATCTCCAATGGGGAACCAATCACACCAAGTGGCAATTTCATGCTCCCAACAGAGCGAGTTCCGTATATGAATCCAGGCCGAAGAATCACTCCTGAAAACAAAGAACAATTTCCAGTTATATTAAGAGTGAGCCCCCAGTTCATCATATCCAAATCATAGGCATAAGTACAAGCCTGGGGTCTTCACCCAATATCCATATATGAACAAGTCAACTCATAATGAAGCTCTACATGTTGTTAAACTCAGTCTGTTGCACAAGAAGGAAAAATTACTTTTGAGTCTTCTGAGTTCATAATTTAGGGTGAAGTGATGAAAAGTCATTTTTCATCAAGACAATTCCACCCTAGATGACATGCTACTTTCTGTGCAATCCCACCCAATATCCTATCATTCATTTATTTATTTATTACTTTTTTTTTTTTTGTGTGTGTGCACGTGAGAGAGAGAAAGAGAGAGGAGGGGGAGGAGAAGGGAAGTCACCTCCATATGGATATCTGGTGAGTAGCTCTGTCTCAGCAGCCCTCTGTACAACAAAGTACACACACCAGAGAAAGCATCATGCAGACTGAGGAATAATTTTGAAAGCAATAACTAGTTTTTGACAAACTACAGATATCTGTAGCTGAGATGTTTCACAAGGCTTATTTGTCATATAATATCAGAGTTTCTCCAGTGACCACGGCTCACTACTTGAAACCAACCAGAACTTAACATTAAGTAAATGCAAGTAGGAGTTCCTTGTATTACCTTTCCTTCATAATATCCTTTTAGCAAATAATTTACCACACCAAAGTCAGCTGCAGAGATGTATACAAACCTCTTGACTCCTAACAAAAGAAAAATATGAACCACAAATAATCAACTGCGCAACTCTATGTTTGGTAATTTCACAAAACACAAAAAGAATATATGAAGGCAACCAAAAATTCCTCTACTAAAAAGGAAAAATAAAACTAAAGAGTAGAATAAACCTCAACAGTTACCTAATATAAACACAAAACAAAAATTGCATGCAACATATAAAAACCCAATCCCAAATAGTTAAAATGGCAACCATCAGTCGTTACCATCCACCATAAATCTTGGCTATGGATCCAAATAAGTAGGCTATGCCATAATCACTTCATTCAGAAGAATACGGAAGAATGATCATGTGAATATCAATGAGTAAAGTCATAAGTGGACTACCAAGAAGATAGTATCTACCGGACAATCATTACCTTCTTCTGAAGCTGCTCTAATAGCATTCATATTCGCGGTCCCATTAATTTTGTACATTTCTGAGTTGGAACCAAAACCGCCAACACAAGAAATCTACAAGGCAAAAGCACTAATGAGCATATGAGAAATTGAAGTAAACAACTAAGGAGAAGTCACATCTCAAGCTAATCCGATAGGAACACAAGGCAAGACCTGATGGTCATAAAAAAAGAAACTCCACAAATAAAGGTTCTCATAAAGTTAATGTCATCATCCCATGACATTAACGAAGATGTTTTCTCAACACTTGTAAACTTCAAATGCAACTCTGCTACCATATTGTATCCTAAACAGGTAATACGATAAATTTCATATTATGTATCATCCAAAGAGGTCTTTCTCTCATCTGATTAATACATTCAGATCACTGTTGGCACCCAAAATCATATGCTGTCAGCACATAATCTTGGAGTAAATTGGATTAAAGAACAAGTAAACCTTTAGAGCAACAATGTAATTTTCATAGAAGCTGATGCCTAAACATAATTTGGACATATCATACTGATCCAGTTAAAAACAACCCTGTGTCTACAGTCAGTGCCCACTCAAAAGTAACACAACATAAAATGAAATCAAACCAATAAAATTTATATGACAGAGGATATATAATCAGTGTAATGGCAGCATCTATAACCTCTTTTTACCAGGATGAATTTAAATAAATTATAGCGAAGGCACGGGTGAATGAGCTCAATTGATTATGTTAATCATACAAAAGTTACCAACTCAGCATTATTTAAGGTAATTGAGTACGCACAATTGAGGTTACTCCCTTAAGAGCATCCTTCCACGAGTCAGTGGTGAAAAGGTTACCTTCAAGCAAGAGAAAGAGAACCAATTAACTAAATGTTTCCTCCAACTACAAAACATAAAATAGATTAGGAAATGAACAAAACCGCATTGCAACCAGACAACCTTGATGCCAAATCACATTGTTGGCCCACGATTCTTGTATTGAGGCTCTACCTGATCTGAAGAGATCAGTAAAGAGTTTTTCAGCAACAGAAAGAACAAAACCAGATAGTTGGCACTTGGCACAAACTAAAACATTTTAAAAACTAGAAGATCATTAAGTTCACATAGTAAAATCAAAAGGTATGCTTTTCGACTAACATTCTCTTCGTACATAAAAACTACATATTCAGACCAATCCTAAGTGCAATCTCTGCAAATATTATTGTATATTTATGAGCACTTACTACTGTAATGTGAGTGCTTGTAAGAGAGAGAGAGAGAGAGAGAGAGAGAGAGAGATTGTCAAGAAGAACTTGCTGTTTAGATTTGCAGTTTTTAACAAGAGGATAGGCTTGTATAACAGAACGAGGTACCTGCTGAGGCTAGCAACAACCAAACCATGATCTAAAGCTTCCTTGCAGATATGAGAGCCAACAAAACCATTTCCACCGAGCACAAGCAACTGAATCATAAACCATAACAAAATAAGGCGTTATAAAGCAACTTGATAAATTTACAAGGACATGGCACAAGAATATCACGCCATAGAAAAACCAAGTAAGTACCTTCTCTGTTGGAGGAGGAGGAACCTTTACTGTCTCAGCTTCCTCAACTTTCTCAACTTTAGCAGAATGATCAGTGGCTGTAAATTTATCACTACTAGTAGAGAGAAACTGCCCATTTCTTGAGGCTATACAGCTGTTGAAAATCAAGTAATCATTATGTTAAGAAACTATAATTAAGTCAGACACCGAAGTTATGTTGAATGCAGCAAAGGCAGATAATGCACTAGAGTGGAGGGGGAAAAAAGGCAAGTGAAAGAACATATATAGCATGACAAAAGATGATAAGATATAAAATCATTCTACCACCAGTAATAATATATCAAAAATAAATTATAAAGACCAGATTACTGCGTTGAGGATTTGAATGGAACTAAAAATCTATTTCCTTCTGATATTCAAAACCAATCAACTGTCTTCGCATTCGAAGAAGACAACTGAGTCTAAGCTTTCACTCACTGCTTGTTGCTACAGTATTTGATATTTCTAACTTTAAGAAACATGCAGAACAAAGAGATATATCTTAGGTACATTTCAGGCCAACAACCATATTACCAGAAAACACTTTTTTACCTTAAAACAACAAGGACAGACCAATCAACATCAAAATATCTCCATCTCTATTAAACAAATCTCACGTGATTAAAAGATTCACAACATAGCCTTTCTAGGTTTAAACCAAACTTAATGATGTTAGTTTGTTCCATTCCAATATTTATCACTTTTACCACATCCGTACCTCTTTATTATTCAATCCTATGTATGCTACAATCAAGCACAAATCCCAGGATAATATTGAAATGGCATTACACAGACGGCCAACCCGTGGGCTTCTCTTTCTTATACGCACTGCCTTTTTACTCTCAAATGTATATAGGGTATCAACAAAAATTATATCAATTCAAAAGAATCCAAACCCCGTTATTGAGATTCAAACATACTTATCAGAGAGATTGAACTCGAACCAGGCATTTTCCCCCATAAGCTACTCTCATGGGTAGTCTTTACAACCATATTTAGATTTGCTAACATTGTCAATTCGCCATGTCCCCGTTTATTATCAGGAACAATTTTACAGAATGAAGCTACAACTCACAATCTAAACGATGAAAGAAATAAAAAGGGATCTAAAGAGGATTCCAGTTTGGAGTACATTGTATCTACAACATAGAAATGTATGATTACTCGCCCAAGTAAAAGGTAGCTACAACTTCGGTGTTAGGCCATCAAAAGGTCTTTAGCAGGGCATATCTTACAGCTCCAATTAGTTCTAATATTATATAAATCAAAAGAAAAACTAAGAGTGTAATCTTCCTCTGTCCTTAATCCCGAGCATTGTAACATCATAAAAATATAAATGGTGTGCAAATTGCTTTTTCCATTAAATGAAATATTTGTTCTAATATTTCATAAACGAAAGGAAAATTAATAAAAAAATCCAAATAGGAAATAAAAGTAATTAAATGTTCCTATTTTGATTCAAAAACTTCAATGTCATTTCAAACCCTATTAATTTTCTTCCAATGAACCTCGTTAATTTTCTTCCACTCATTCAGAAATGGGAAACACCAGCAATCCAATGTCCATAATTCGATTCAAAAATTCAAAAGTAGTTTCAAATCCCAACGATAATTCAATAGGAAAAAGTAACAGAAAATATAACAAATTTAAGAAACACCACAGCAGTCGAAAATTTTAAATGCCTACGGAGCGAACATTATGGCTACCATGAAAGAAGTCACCTCAGTTATCGCTCACACTGTTCGCAGTCTTTTCTACATAAAACTTCAACCAAAACATTCCAAACGATCAGACATTCAAAGAATTCGGAGACGATATAGTATGATCATACCATAGAAACAAACAAAATTGAAAGATGTATCAAATATTAAATGTAAAAAATTACGATAATCTGGAGAGTGAGAGCTTGGATAAGTTGGATTGATGCAACAGTCGAGACATTTGCTCCGTGGCAGACGAAAACTGTGAAGTGTGAGCGACGCTTACCCAAATTTCTGTTTATAATTTTTATGCATAAAATGTGCGAGGGCTACGGTCTTCTTTTCCATTCTCGATTTCTCTGTATATTTATGGTTCGGAATTGACACGTGGCGAGTGCTCTGTTGCCTCGCGTAGCAGAATGGTGGCTCATTTTCACCCTAAAGTTCTATTTCCACTACAACGGGTCGGTTCGATCCACATTTAATTAGAAACTAGTACAACACTCATATATTACATGGGTAGGGATAGTGCTTCATCCCGGACCATTCATGGACCGATTCATAAAAATGGGATAGGTATCCAGACAAGTCGTCAAATCCAGGACCGTCCGGACTGCGCTCACCCCTACCATAAATAATTCATATTTATAGATAATCCGAACCTAAATATTTTTGGATTATAAGTAAATTAAATCTACCGAAGCCTAATAACGAAACATGTCATTTTACCACATAGGATCCCGAAGCATGCGAGCCTGCCACATAGGCTCTAACACATTCTGAATTAATATATAAGGGGATGTCAAAGTGACCTGGAACCTGCTCAACCCGCCCATTTGGGGCATGTTAAATTTATCCCGTTTTAAAACGAGCCAGGCCAGATTCGCCCAGTAAGTTAAGCGGGGTAGGTTCGGGTCATATATTCCGACACAACCCGCCTCAGCCTAATTTTAATTTTTTTATATGATTTATATATAGTATATAAAGTAAATTATGAATGGAGATTAGGTTTAGAATTTTTGGTCTGTACTCTTACAACCGCAAGTGTTGCACTTCTCTCTCTCTCACTCTCCTCATGCCTGTGGCCTTGCCTCTCCTCTTCTCATGCCCTGTCGCCTCTCCTCTTCTCACGCCCGTCGCCTCTCTTCTCACGTCCGTCTTCACACCCTCTCCTGACCTCCAAAGTTCGACACAAAAGCTCTGACTGCTCCGCGCCTCCACTTTGACGCTCCGCCTCCGCCTCAACGCCTTGCCTCTGACTTTTTTCCACTTTCAAATTCTAATGGTAATTACAGTTCTTTTTTTTTAAAAAAAAATGGTTCATATTATCTTGGTACCAATTTCGGATTTTATGTTTCTATCTCAACCAGGGCCGTCTCCAGAAATTTGGAGACCCCAAACAATTTTTTACGGGTGGCTTGTAATCGTACTGTTATATTTTAAAATTTTTAGTTGAGCAAATAATATTAAACCTTGCCAATAATAAATACGAAAATACAATGAATATGAGAAACAAAATTAAACTAAAATAACAAAAGCTTACAACCTTCTTGTGCTCTTTTGTGCAAAAATTTTCGATCAAGTCACTATAATCAAGTTTCAAAACTATTTTGTTTTCCACATTCGACAAAAATCGTTTATAGAGTTTTATCATTGAAACTTCTACCTTTATCGTTAATAGGATACACGACATTAGTAACTCTAGTCACCATTTCTCAACTAAAAAAAAATCTTTAGGGCATTTTATCCCCCCCAATATCTGGAATTGAACAAGTCATCTGAATTTTCACAGATATCTAGGTTATCATTCATATTCTCGATATCATTTGCATTCTCTGACTTATTATTTTATTCTTAAAAAACTTCAACCCCTCTATCATTATCATCTAAATAAATTTGATACGTTAAATCTCGATCAATTTCAACTAGGAGTGTATCAGGTACTTCCTACACAATTTCAATAGTATCAAATACTTCAATTTCTACTACAGAAGTACTAGGTTTTACGTACTTATCCAGGCGAGATACTTTGTTGGTATCTCTTGTTTTTCTTTCTTTTCCTTTCCAAACATCTAAAATCAAATTTGTGTTTGCCCGTCATAATTCATATGTGAAATCTAATCATAAAATAATATATTAATAAGTTTAATTACAATAATAATTAACAAAAAATATAAATTAAAAGAAAAGTAAATATTTAAAATATAATTAGTACTAAAAAAAATTGAATTAAAAGCTTGAAATTTCTATATATAATACGTTAAATTAGAAATAATACGCTCTAAGTGATTTCAATCAAGAATTACTATGCTCCATAATGTATTTTATTTTTCTCTTGATGAAACTTGAAGGAGAGAAGAGGAGCAGCAATTATTTTAATATCTCTAACTATTAATTAGCTTTAGTGATTTTGTAAATGGGCCAAGTCCAAACATATACATACAACAAAAAAATATAAAAAAAAAAAATGTGAGGCCTTCCAAAATGGAGGCCCTAAGCAGCCGCCTTTGTTGTTTGCCCCAGGAGCCGGCTATGATCTCAACCCCTTTTCCAAGAAATATGAGGATTTATATTTGAAATTATGTGAATTACATTATATATGGTTGCATATATAAGTTGGAATTCAATCTCTTTTACTTGATCTAGGATGACACATCAAAAAGCCCAAAAAGAGAAATAGGCAGAAAAGAATTAGGTTAAAAAAAAAGGTTCAGGTACAGGTTAGGGCGGGCCGACCCGCCCCAAATCGAGTCAGGGCACGGGCCCGACCTAATAGACCCGTCACGGATCGCGGGCCAGGTCGGTCCTTGGGGCGGAAACATGGGCCAGGTCCGGGTCCGCAACTACCTGACCCTACCTGGCCCATTGCCATCCCTACAATTAATGTAGTAACTTTTTTTTTTTTTTTTTTCTAATATCCATGTTCCATCCTTATGTTTGTCAGTCTTCTACCCTTGTAGTTGGCCCCTCGACTACTTTGGGAGGTAAACTACGAGAAGTGCCCTATTCTCAACCGTACCGCCCCCTTTAAACCATAGCGCCCCAGGAGGTATAATGTCACAGAGGTGATTGCCAGCATATCACATTTCCTCCAAAAGAAGAAAAAGCTACTGAGGGTTCCCTCTCTCTGGGATTCGATCTCCCTACTCAGAGCATTCAGGCCAGCGTGCCACGAGGGGCAAAACATTGGAAGGTAAACTTTTTAAACGAGCTAGCCCCACCGCCATTGCAGCCCATCCTCAAGAAACCCTAACTACGGCCTAGCCCAACTGTTTAGTATACACCGTTTGGTCCCACGCGTATGGAGGGATTCTTTTAGGGGCATAATTCTAGTGGTAACCACTTTTTCAGTCACCTATGAAGTTGAATATAAACTTATATATAAAATTATTGGATTATTAATGAGAAACAACTTTTAATATTAATGATATAGCACTAGAATAGCTCGATGGACAGGCCTGAGCGGTTAGTTCGGGTACGGCTGGTCCAAGGAAGCTTTAGCTCGATTGCTAGAATTTAAAGATATGCGATATTAGCTAAACATATATAAAGATTTAGAAAATATTCCTAAAAGATATCGAAGTAAGTTTGTGTATATGTACACAGTTATTTTTGAAGATCAGACGTGTTACACCTAAAAATATCCAATAAAAAAGAGGGAAATTTTCACCTTTCCTACTCGTTTTTTAAATATTTGCACATTTACCACTCCTACCAATTCAATTGTGTTTATACCTAAAAAATAAAAAGTAATTAAAGTCATGCCTAATATCAGTTACCCGATATGGAACAAACTTTCCATGTTTCTAGCCCATAATTTCAGCTCTCAATCTTGGAAGGATATCAGTTAGATATCATATTTCAAACTTTCCATGTTTCATTATCACATCTCATATATAGTCGTAGTGCTGTTATTGAACAGGTGAAAGTATATGTGCAGTATATTTTGGTATTTGTTCATGGAAATAAACTGCGTAGTTTTAATATATTTGGTTTATGTTCAGCAGTTGAGTATATTTTGGTATTTGTTCATGGAAATAAACTGCGTAGTTTTAATATATGTGGTTTATGTTCAGCAATTGATTTTTATTGTGCAGCATAAGTATATTTTTAGTTTATGTTCAGTATATTTTTAATTTATGAACCACATCAAACAAAGACTTGGATCCGGGTCGGGCCTGGAGTAGCTGCTCCCGCACAGCGATCTTCTCAGGCCGGTGAAGGCTGACGAGGAAGGCGGTTGAATCAACAAGGACAAAAGAAAAAAAAAATCAAAAATAAATAAGAAAATAACAAGAATTAAAACTGGAGCTTCAAGGGATTCTATCATTGAGCAGAAAAAGGCAAACAAGACAGAGGGAAGAGGGGATTGAAATGGCGCAAGCTGCAAACTAAGCCCCGACCACCACGAGGGCGGAGATCTGAGCCCGCCGCCAGGCCCGGCCTTCACTCCGTCAACCAGCCAAAAAAAAAAAAACTCAGAATCTCACCATGTTTAAATTACTCTCGTTTTGCTATCTAAAAGCCACCGACCACCACCACAGAGAAAATCAAACAAAGGTTGGAAACAGATAATACAGAAAGTATTTTCGAGAGTCTCGAGAGGATTTCATCTTCAACCTCGCCGCCATTGTTTATGTAGAAAACTTTATTCAAATTGAAGAATGAAAAAAATCACCATGAATTATTACCTGGTCTGTGAATATATGTAGTGGCTATGGAGAGGAAGAGAACTATGGATCCGTGGTACAAGAAACGTCCGAACATGGAGGGAGAGAGAAGAAGAAAACGAATAGAGAGAGGGAGAGAGAGAGAATGTGATAATAATAGATCCCATTAAATCTGTTCTTACCATATTTAAAACTAATTATCTGTTGTCAATAATCTGGTATGTTTGTAAATAAATATGATAGGTTTAGTTAATTTGCAAATAAATATATATGAGATGTAATTATGTAATAAAAATGTTAATTTGTAGTGGATGGTGTAATTTCCTCTAAAAAAGACGGTGTGGCCCACGTGCATATTTAAGCCCAAAGGACGGATAAGGCCCAAAGACAGAATCCATCCTGTAGACAGTCTAAGCAAATGATGTTAGAGGTGTCGATCACCCAATCGACATGCCGATAGTCCACGGAAGCTTCCCAAGTACGAATGACGATCACCTTTATCGTTTGAACGTACACTGGAAAAGTTGATAACACCACCCAAGCTGTTTCATCCACTTTGACAAGAAAACACATGGCGCCACCCTATGCCCTTAGATGGCAATCCACATTCATTGCGCCATCACTTTTTTCGTGTATAAATATTGACCCTCAAGTCCGAAAGCAGCAAGACAATCCATCAATAAATCAAGAAATTGATTAAGCTATCGATATATACCATACATTATTGATCTTCCAAGATCATACACTACATTACACTCGACTATATTCATACACTCATTTAATCAAAATCTTGAAAAACAATTTCATTGTTAATCGTCACAGCCGTTCGGCAACAGTGGTGTCTTGCTCTTTTCTTTACGCGTATTTATTTTATATTGATCTCTTCATATTCCATACAACTAAAATATAACCTAATTATATTGTAACCCCCGTTTAAACCACCTTAAATAAACTTAGTATAACTGTTGGCGATCTACCGTCAACAGAATGGCGCTAAAAGAAGGGTGGCCATCAAGGGTTACATCTGGATCTTGCTCATATAAAAAGTTAGTCACCGATAAAGTTTTCTCGTACACTTCTCCTATCACCATTTTCTTAAACCCTTATTGGATGAAGGGTGGCACAGCCGACCCCTCTTTTTTCTATCATTGGCCGGATAAAAGGACAGCTCAATCGACCCTTCTGCTTTCGATTGCCCTAGTATCTTCTCGAAATTTTCCTTAAAATATCCAAATACTTGCCTTTTGTCTCATGTCCCCACAAAAAGCCTAGATCTACGCTTTCGGGAAAACACTTATACTAGCACACCTTCTATAAGAATATGGATCGACTAGTCCACCCTTGACAAGAACGTGAGGGTGGACGATTCGTCGATCCACAAGTAATCCTGGCCCTCTCGAGGTCGGGGGCCTAAGGAAGGATCAGACGAAAATGTTCACATGATATCTGACTATATTCCCTCCTTAGGCCCAAGAAACCCCAACCCAACTATCAACCTCATAATGGTTGAGCGATCATTGACATACCTTGATCATGATCGCTCGACTAGTTTATTGTCACACTTGGTTGGTGCTACGCAACCGTAGGCCACGCCAAGCAACGACCTGTGAAGTAAATCTCAACCTAGGGTTGAGATCAACCATCAAGGTCAGTCGAGACCACAGTTCGCCTCTATTATCAACAGCGATCCGGCAGATCGACAAATCTACCCCTGATCTATGCAGAGATGCTCTTGTGGATCTTTTAGTACACTATCACTCCACGGCGAGAACGTCATACGTAAATTTTCTGTCGATCCACGACCGCCGCTGTCGATCACAAAAACTGTACAAAATTTATGTTAATGAATATAAAGTGATATATTTTAAACATACTTAAGCTCTGGTAGTGCGTGCAAATCTTATTCCGTGTGATAATTATTTCAAAATTCCGTGTGATAATTATTTCAAAATGACACTCATACTTTTGCACTAATTTTGTCAAAAATTATATTTTTTAATTTTATTTTTAAAATTATATATGTCTAAAAGAAAATTATTTACAACTCAATAAACTTAATTTCTTTTTCTTTTTTAAGAAAAAAAATAACTTTTATTGTATTGTGACTATATTTTAAATTTATCGAGTCGAATATCTTGTAAACTTTTTCATGAACCATCAGCTTCGTAACTTTTTTCCTACTAAATGCTAATTGTTATAATATATATTGTATCGTATTATATATTTTTTTATGGTATTTTCACTCCATATTTTATTATTCTTTTTGTAAATACAAATTAAAAAGTTGAAATGTAAAAAAATATTGGGAAAAGTGATGCAACGATAAAATTAGAATTTATTTTATCTTATGTCTACTCCTACCAAACAAATGCAAGATTAAAATAATCACCAACACTATCTAAAAGTTAGTCATACACAACAAACAAATGACCAATCTAATCTCAATAGTACAATCTTACCGCTCAAAATTAAATTAATATAATCTCATCAGGGAAAAAAAACATGCCCCTAATATATTATTCCACATCACTCCTTCAATTTTTTGATACACTATATAAACTCTCCTACAGATCAGCACGCTTTTTACTCCGCCTTCTCCTCCCCCTCCTTCATCTACCATTGCGGCGACCCTCTTGTTGTCCTCATCCTCAAGCCCTCTTCTTACTACCACGCCTTCAATCTACCTTTGCCCGGTGGCTCCACTTCTTTCTTTCCTTCCTCCTCCCTCCACTCCATCACCTTCGTTGGCACCTTCTTCTACCTCTTGGCCTCCCAAACCCAAAACCCCCAAAAGACCTTCATCGTCTGCATATCCCCTCACCGTCGTCTATTACCCCACTAATGGTTTCATCAAATGCGGAGAAAGTGGCTAAGGCAAGAAGTGGAGAGTGGAGGGGAGCGATTGTAGTGATTGATGGATGTGTTGATATGTGACCCTAATTTGATGGAACATACATAGAGAAGAGTGTTTATAAAAAGCAACCACACTAAATAACATGTCATGATTAGATTTGATAATTTTTGAAAGGATAGCTTTGTAAATGTGTAGAGCCAACTGTAGTGTGGTGCAATAGTAGGCACTACAATTCTTCCAAACCCTCTCCGCATACTTATTTAGAAATGGATTGACTGACTCCTTTAAGTCGCCCTACTACAACCATTTTAGAGATTCTTTCATAGAATTAACGAAAGACCATCCCAATCTCAACGAGAATCAGTATACGAAACTAAATAACCTGGCTTGATTAGATTTGTTAGTTTTTAAAAGAATACAATTAATATATTATGGTATGAAACCCAATACATTTTGTCCAAGCAAACACGGCTAAGAGAATTTTAAAAATTATATTGCGACGCACGGAGTGGACAATTTCTAAACTATTTACCCAGTCTTATTATTATTTTCGTAGATAAAAAAATTAAATTAATAGAATTAAAAAGACTATTATATATTAGTAAGAACCTCCTTAGAGACAAATTTTTTGCTTTGTAGGCACATCATCCTCCCCGCAAACTAATACTTTCAAGCCCTTTCGATTAGTGACACATGAAACAGCTACATACAAGTGGCTATGACTGAATACCGGCTTCTTCAAGAATATGTCGACATGTGATGAAAACTGACACTGGCTCTTGTTAGTCGTCATGGCATAAAAAACCCTTAGAGAAAATTGTTTCCGTTGAAATTTGAAAGGTACTCTAACGTTAGGTGTTGGAGTCATCCGAGGTGCCAACACCTTCTCTCCTGCATTAGGTCCAATCAATACCTTACATTCAAGCACATGAGTGGAGAGCTTTGTGAAAACTAATCTCTCACCATTGCACAACCCCATAAAATGGTCAATGTTCCGCAAAAACATTTTTGGGGTTCATATCTTAAGATTCAACTCATGGTTCGACACTCGAGAACATCTGAGAGTATTTAAAAACTCAGGGGCGTGGAGATCGAAAAAAACTCAATATTGGAATAAGATTGACACGTACTGTCAGAGCTCAAGTATGTTTGATCATCAGTCACGTTCAATGGCGTCATGTACTCATTTATAGACTCAGCCACCTCCAACGCTAGGTTCTAGTATAGCCCTATCCTTCAAATAACTGGATCATCGATTGCATCCTTAAACAATTGATATGCCTCTCAACAATTGCAGCGATAAGATCACCAGTGGGCTCTAATAAGGTGTTATCAGATATGTCTATCAAGACACATCCATCATTGGATCCTCCAGTGGCTTCATCTCTAATGCTCGCTATCCAATTAGCAAAAGCAGTCATAGCTCCTTGCGTTCATCCGAATCAACAATTCTCTGAAAGGTGCACATTTTTTATAAGCCTCAACATAGTACAATCAGCTCATATGTCGGAAGAATTAATTGCATCATTCACAATATCCTGATGACTCCCCTTTGAAATAACTAGGACAATCTGTCGGAAGTCTTCATCGTGAAATAGGATTTTCAAGCAACTCTTGTATTCAGCCTCAAATTTGTATTCAATTATTTGAATCATACGCAGCTTCATGGGTAGCTTCTTAGTTCTAGTGACCAGTGTTCTAAAAACCAGACCGATTCGACCGGTTCAACCGCGAACCAGCCCATATAACGGTCTGGTTTGAGGTTTAGAACCGTAGGGGCTCCAAACCGGGTACAAACCGTTTGAACCGGTGAAAAACCGGCAAAACCAATCAACCGGGGGCGGTTTATACGGACAGCGGTCCATTTGATTCATGCATTAAAGCTTGTTGTGAGCGCATAAATAGCACAATTAGTTTTGTACTGCTTCCGATGTGGGAGATGTGGGATTTCAAAAACAAAGGCTTATTGGAAATTGGGCCTTCATTATTGGGCCTTATTTGTTTGTTGCTGGAAATCAACGCCTTTATTTATAGCTTGGACCCTAGCCTTATTGCTGAAAACTAAAGCCTATTCATTACAACTTATAAGCCCACAATAATTAAAATATATTCCAACCTATTGGTTATAAGTTATAAGCCCACAATAATTAAAATATAGTCTAAGTGTAGACTTAGTTACCATGTAGCTAAAATAATTAGAATATGCATGATTTTTTTTTATTTAAAGAAATATCAATATACACTATAAAACTAATAATAACAATATGTATAATTATATATTGTACATATAAAATAAATAAAAATTATATATTAATTAAACCGGTTCGACCACTGGTCCGACCAATGAACCATTGAATCGGTAGCTTCACCGGTTCGATGACCGGTCCGTTTTCAAAACATTGCTAGTGACATCCTTGATCAGACCGAATTCGCACTTCATGTTGAATTAACTTAAATAAGTATATATTGTGTATTTGTGTAATAAAAAATTAAATCTAAAGCAGGATGAATAGCAACATCGATATACACTGAATTTATAAGGTAAGAAGAACATAGTATATTTTAGATCAATTCCATATATATTTGACAATAAATTGCCTATGATTCATATCAATTTTTAAATGAGTGTAAATAACACTTATTCTGTTTTGTAATGATAAAGATTTACTCTATGTAATTCACACATTTTTTTTGTAGTTAATCTGATGCTATTATATTTTTTTCGTATTTATTTATTTATATATTAAAATTAAATTTAATTATTTTATTTCAAATATTATCTTATTCTCTTACTTATAAAAAGAAAGGGTGAGCCTCCAAGCCTGACACATGTCTGCCTAACTTAGGAGACAGGTGTCCAGTTTAGTTTCAAAACGACATTGTTTTGATTTCACTTTAATTAACTTTAAAATGAGACGATTAAAATATAAAGAAAATGAGGCCAGATGTCTCGAGAAGTCTCTCAGACTCTCAGTTCTCATTTTCCCAAACCACACTCCGTTCATCTCTTCTCGCTGCCGCCCTACTTGAAAATGATTCTTCTTGACACTACCACACCCTAACGATGAGAGTGATGATTAAACTTCGACGAACCCTTGTTCGAGAAGATTTTCAAAAAGTGCAGAAGAGTCAGGCTCTATCAACGTGGAACCTCACCAGCCTTGCATCCCAAAAATTGACGTAGAAAAAATCGAAGTTACTCGCCATTGATCGTTTAACTGTTTCAATACTAGCCATGTTTCTGGTCAAGGTAAGAAATCTATGGCCCTTTACTTTGTTATGTGGTTTTTCTACAGTTCAACGTTATATCGTCTCTGTTCACTTTTCTATTTTTTGTGTTATTTTACTGATGTTGGTGACAGACATGGGGAGATCAATATCTTTGAGCTGTATATGGCTATAATAATTTAACCAAATTTGGTTTTATGTCCCATGTGATTAATATCACACATAAGTACACAACACACGCAAACACAATGCACGGTGATTCTCAGCACACAATCTAATTAAACACAAAGACCTGTTCATGGCAGCAGAGTCCGACGATATCTCAGTTTTCAGCAGCTCCTCAAAGCCAGCTCACTTCGAAACGAAAATGGCCGCTCTCTCATACACGTTGCCATATCGTCCTCCCAGCCTGAGGTCTAGTCCATCACTTACCTTCTCGGTGCAGTTGAATTTCAACCGTTTGAGCTTTCAATTCCTTTTATTTGTGAATTTATGCTTCTTTGTGTTATGGTGAGTTCAATTTTGCAGTGTAAGTCAGTCGGCATGTTTCTTTTCATTGTTTATGTTTTGGCTATGTTTGATGGCATGGTGTTAGTATTGGAGTTCATGAAGCCCTGTGGTTAGTTGATCTTAGGTATTTAATTTTGACTCTCTTTCTCATTGGTGACGAAATTTGAGGAGGAATGTTTTTGGCATTGTAGCATTAGGAAGATGGTTGTAGTTGTATTGTGACGTGTTCTTTTGGCATTTAGTTTCATCTGTAAGTTGTTGAAATTTGTCAATTTTCATGTATGAATTGATCCTGTGGATGGATAGGTGGTGGGAATTCTATCGGCTGCTGACCATCGGTTGTGAATAGTTGCGATAAAGAAGGTTGGGTTCCCCTGCACTCGGCCTGCGGCTGCCACAATAATTTCCATCAAAAAGAGCCCGACTGCGAGCATCCTGGCCGCCACCCTCAGTGCTCCGGTGCCAACAACAGTAACAGCAGCGACCGTCAGAACCTGTCCTCTGAGTAGTCAAACCTCCGACACCACTTTGCCCCCAGGGGATATTTCGTAAGTAAGGGGATTGTAACTAATATTGGTTTCTCTTTTTTTTTTTTTTTTGGTANTTTGGTGGATGAAATTTAGGATTGGTTGACGAAGCTCTTATAACTGTTGCAGGATTGTGCACGAAGAATATTCAGGCTACTTATTCTTCATGAGCAAATATGTTCTCCTCTTTCTGTGGCAATACTGATTTTGAGTGAAATTTTACATGAATTATCAGAACACGAAGAAGATGGAGCTAACTATGGTATCTTCTACACCCTAGGGAAAAGATGTGACTAAGCAGATTGTAAAATCAATGGAGAAACTTCATGTCATGTGTTTCATTAAACACTACGAATCAACTTACCACACGGTTCTGAAACTTTATATTGTCGACATCATGGACAACGAAAAAAATGTTCCAGAAAGAAAAATTTCAGAAAAGGGAGCAGTCATTTCATCCTCGGACAAGGTACAATGTACACAAAAGCATATACGGAGAATTCATTGAGTTTTTATTGACTAAATAAGATGATGCAATTATTCCACTTTATCGAACAGGTAGCCAATTCTTCAGCCCATGTCTAAAAATAGTGCTTCAATCCCTTGCCACCGAAAGTGAAACACATCCTACCACAACATCTTCTGGCTCCTCAGTGAAAAAATGCCTCAACTTCGACAGTTAGTAGAGCTCTTTGCCGACAAGCAGCACCCCACTCACACATGTTTCCTAACTACCGAGCCAATCAACCCTTGAGACTGCAGCAAAAGCTAATGCAAGCCCTTCAAAGAAAATTCGGCCCAAAAAGGACTAGTGCCTGTAATGTAACTATAAACTTTTAAATGCCCTAAGTGGCATGAAACCTAACTTTTGTGTTTTGTCTGTATATTTGTCGGAATTACAGCCATCTATTTGCATATAGGTGCTCTGAATTCTGTAACTTCTCAATGGTATGGTTGCCATGAAACCTTTTGTTTTGTATGTTGTATGGATTCCAACAGAATTCCAAGCATCTATTTACATGTAGATGTTAAGGAATCCTATAAACGTATTGATGAACGCCTTTGATGCTTTTGCAGCTACAAACTTCCTTTGATATGTGTATACTCTGCCCTTATGTTTTGTTGATCTATTGTACATAACTGTCTTAGTTTGCAAGTTCTAACAGTGTAATAGATTTCATATATCACTCCAAATTGGGCCGGTTGTGCAGTGCACAGCCATAGCCTTCTAGTTTTAATATAAACATAAAATTTCACCAATAACTAAATATAATATTTTTTTATGATTAACTTTAATTAACTAAAAAAAACTAATTTTAAATCAATTTATTTGTAAACAAGCACGATTTAAAATTCTTATGGGCAATCACTACGCCCGGTCCACACCGTATGTCTAATTTCGAAATGACAACTCCTATTTTCCTTTTTTTCGGAAAACAGATTTTCCACATTTTTACTTGGCTAAGACTAAGCCAGTTGTCCTATTTTAATTGGCCGTGGTCAGATCTCCTCAACCCGTTTTGTCTTTTTTTCCAAACATAGCCAGATATAGGGCACTCTCCATACCTGTGCACACTGCCTCATTCTTAAAAGCAAGTAAACTTAATAAGGCCAGTAGAGTTTATAGAAGAGGGAAAAAGCTTAATAAGGCCAGATAACCGGAAAAAAATAAAGGGAAAACCAAATGGGTGGCGAAACATGGAGCCTGACGGCGAAGGTCTGCGACTCGTGCAAGGCGGCGCCGTCCACCGTGTTCTGCCGCGCCGACTCCGCCTTCCTCTGCCTCTCCTGCGACGCCAACATCCACGCCGCCAACAAGCTCGCGTCCCGCCACGCGCGCGTCTGGGTCTGCGAGGTCTGCGAGCAGTCCCCCGCCGCCGTCTCCTGCAAGGCCGACGCCGCCGCCCTCTGCCCCGCCTGCGACCGCGACATCCACTCCGCCAACCCCCTCGCCCGCCGCCACGAGCGCCTCCCTCTTGCCCCCTTCTACGACTCCGCAGCCGCCGCCGCAGCCAAGCCCGCCGCCCAGGACTTCTCCGAGGAGGAGGCCGAGGCCGCCTCCTGGCTCCTCCTTCCCAACGCCGGCGACCAGCCGGAGGAGGGCGAGGAGTCCGAATCGCGCGAGTACAAGTCCGCTGAGTACCTTTTCACCGACGTGGATCCGTATCTGGATCTGGATCTACTCTCCGGCGAACAGAAGGCCGCTGGGAACGATGAGAACAAACAGTATTCTGCCGACGGGGTCGTGCCGGTGCAGAGCAAGGCCGAGTTCGGGCCGGGCCACTATCCAGGGCCCGTTGTGGATGGGTTCCCCACCTATGATATGGATTACCCCATCCCCAAGCCTTTCATGTACAATTTTACCGCACAATCCCTTAGCCAGAGTGTAAGCTTCCTAATTCTCTTCTTCCCTAATTATAATTATTGTATTTTATTAATAATTATTAATTAATTATGACAGGTATCCTCTTCATCGATGGAGGTGGGAGTGGTCCCAGACCACACAGGCGCCATGGGCGATGTATCGGACAGCTTGGGAAAATCCGAAGCTGTTCCTGTCCCAGTTTCAGGTCTGGATCGGGAGGCTCGGGTTTTGAGGTATAAAGAGAAAAGGAAGAACAGGAAGTTTGAGAAAACCATTAGATACGCGTCCAGAAAGGCGTATGCTGAGACACGGCCGAGGATCAAAGGCAGGTTTGCCAAAAGGTCTGAACTTGAAGTCGAATCCTTGATCTCGTATGGTGTGGTGCCCACTTTTTAGGGAAAAAAATTTAATCTGCCGATTTTAATTACATGTTTGTTATTATCCCTCCCAAAATTGTTGTGTTGTTGGTCTGGGATGAAGTATGCTGTTTGTTGGTGATGGGGGGTTGTGTGTACATATAAGTTAGGTTTGGGACATGACTGTATTTTCATTAATACTTTGTCTTGGGAATTTTGTAGTGAAGGATGATGTTTTACTTTTACCCCAGTTGTAATGTCTGTAATGTAACTCAAGCTTTTTGTGAGTTGTACTGTTGTTGCTTTGCCATATTGTTATGATTGATAGCTTATATGAACTAAATATAATTGTTCCAAGTTTAGTGAGAGCACAAGCTTGGATCACAAACTAGATAAGGAACTGCTAATGAGCCGACTTAAATTTACCAACACCAGCCCTAATGTATTATACTTCTACCAATGAGTGAACATTGATTACCAACATACAGTTTTGTTATTAAGCCAACAGTTGTTGGCTCTATAGGGAAGTTAACCTTCTATATACATCAATCTTCTATATGGTATGATCTATTTGTTGTATATAGAAGATTGGTTAGAAGTTAATGATGAACGCTTCAATTTAAAATTGTTGGTTTTTGTCAAACGAAAATGTATATTGAATTATCAACTTGTTGAATTCCTTAAAATTTTACAACATAATAACAAGAATTGTTTTCTATTTTAATATTTTTTTAGTACTTTGTTTGTAATCCATAATATGATGTTAAAATCATATATAATTCATTGCTAATATGCTTACCGCACCCCTTACTAAATACCGCACCCTAAAAAGACAATTTTAACTTTTTTAATATTAATTTTTTTTTCAGATGCCGGCCGGCCGGCTAAGGCGGCCACCTCTCGCTCAGCCGGCCTAAGGCCCGACCGGCCACTCCTAATGCCGGCCTTCTTTGGCGGCCGGCCATTCCATTTTCGGCCGGCGGCCGGCCAATTTTTTTTTTTTTTATTTAAATATTTTAAAAACTATATAAAGAAATTGATTAATAATTATTATTGAAAATTAAAGAAATCGATTAATAATTATTAATGTAATACAAGTTGCTACAACATTTATAGCTATTTCTTGCCTTTCATTGGACTTCCTCATCCAATGTGGGATACAAATCAAAGTTTTCAGTCTCCCAACCTTTTATAGCCACTTTTGGTTTTTATTATTGTGTTTGTAATCGATGTGAGATTGTCCCAAGCCTCTAGCCTTTTATAGCTACTTTTTGCATTCTTTTTGCTTTCAAAATCAATGTGGGACTAAATGATCCCTCATTTAACACACTTTCATTATGTATGTCAAGATGAATATCACATTATCATTAACTAAACTTATTATTATCTTAAATCGATAAATGATTAAATTTAACTAAATGAACATGAAATATGAAAAAACATTATGGGCTTTTACATAATAAAAGAAAATTCACTTATCATCCAACTTTGTAATAATTAAAATATATTAATAAAATATATATATTAGTTATTTGTTTTTTTCGCAGTTTCTATTTTTTTTATAAATATATTAATCAAATATATATTACTTTGTAGTTAATATACATATATATATATATTAAATTAATATATATATTAAATTATATATATAAATTATTTGTACATATAAATTACATTCTATATTTTTTTAAAATTTTCGTGGTTTTTAATTTTTGTTAATTAAAAGATGTTGAAACATTAAAAATATATTTAAATAATTTCATATATATTATTATATAATTATAATAAAGTAAAAAAATTATTTATTAAGTTTGAATAATAATTAAAATATATTAATAATTTATATTAATATATATTAAATTATATATATTAATAATTTCATATATATTATTATACATTCATATATATTAATATATGTTTTATATTAATATATATTAATCAAGTTAATATATATTATATTAGTATAGTAATTATAAATTATGATAGTATAAAATATAATTAATTATAATGAAAAAAAAGTATATTAGTATAAATTATATTAGTATATTAAAATTATATTATTAATTAGTTTAATTATTATAAATTATAATAGTATAAGATATAATTAATTATAATATAAAAAAATTATATTAGTATAAATTATTACGTTATAGATTAGAATTAATTATTTTATAAAATTAAATTTATTGATATTATGTTAGAAGTTAGAAATTATTGTGTTATGGATTATAATTGATTATCTTATGAGGCATAATTTATTGGTACTAGTTTGAAAATTAGTATTAATTATATTATTATAAATTAGAAATGATACTAGTTTGAAAAAAATTATATTATTATAAATTATTATGTTATATATTTGAATTGATTATCTTATAAATAGAATTTGTTACTATTATGTTAGAAGTTAGAAATTATTATGGTATAGAATTAGAATGGATTGTTTTATAAATTTGAATTTATAACTATTTTGTTAGAAGTTAGAAATTATTGTATTATAGATTAGAATTGATTATCTTATAAATTAGAATAATTTATTATTATGTTAGAAGTTAGAAATTATTATGATATAGAATTAAAATTTCTAACTTCTAACATTATTATGATAAAACAATCAATTCTAATTCTATACCATAACAATTTCTAACTTCTAACATAATAGCGATAAATTCTAATGTATAAGATAATCAATTCTAATCTATAATACAATAATTTCTAACTTCTAACAAAATAGTAATAAATTCAAATTTATACAACAATCAATTATAATTCTATATCATAATAATTTCTAACTTTTAACATAATAGTAATAAATTCTAATTTTGTAAGATAATCAATTCAAATCTATAACATAATAATTTATAACTTCTAACAAAATAGTAATAAATTCAAATATATAAAACAATCAATTCTAATTCTATACCGTAATAATTTCTAACTTTTTCATTCAATGTGGGATAATTGCAATCAAATTTTTCAGTCTCCCAACCTTTTATAGCCACTTTTGGACTTCATTATTGTGTTTGTAATCGATGTGAGATTGTCTCAAGCATCTAGCCTATTATAGCCATTTTTTGCATTCTTTTTTGCTTTCAAAATCAATGTGGGACTAAATGATACATGTTTTAACACACTTTCACTATGTATGTTAAGATGAATATCACATTATCATTAGTCAATTTTATTATTATCTTAAATTGATAAATGATTAAGTTTAACTAAATGAACATGAAATGTGGAAAAACATTATGAGCTTTTACATAATGAAAGAAAATTCACTTACCATCCCAGTTTCATTTTTTTTTCTTTTCATTATAATTAATTATATTTAATACTATCATATTTTATAATAATTATACTAATATAATATATATATATATAATATTAAATTTATTAATATATATTAATATATAATATATATTTTTATTATTCTATATTAATATATATTCATATATATATGAATGTATAATAATATATATGACATTATTAATATATAAATTTAATATATATTAATATATATTATTAATCAAACTTAATTATTAATTTTTTAATTTATTATAAAATATATAATAATATATATGAAATTATTTAAATATGTTTTTAATATTTCAACATTTTTAATTAGTATTGTAATATAATTAGGCCACAAGAGTTTATCTTAATTTTTTTATAATCAATTTTTTATTTATTATATAAATTGTACTAGAATTTAGATATTATATTATAAATTAGAATTTATTATTATTATTTTAGAACTCAGAAATTATTATGTTATAAATTATATTAATTATCTTATAGAATTATATTATTATTATTATGTTAGAACCTAAAAATTATTATGTTATATAACATAATACTAATTATCTCTAACAAGATTGTTTGACATTTTTCTCAGAGTTATATGATTCGTGTGAATATTATAGTAGGAAAAGCATTCAAGCTCATGTTTAATTGAAGTATTAATGAAAATCTCTTGCTGTTGACTTTCATTCTCTAATGGACTTGTATTTAATCGAATCAATTTTATCACGCTTGGGATCATGATGTTAGTGTCATAGCTAAATTTAATTTCAATGCAGCAATTAAACCATTAAAAGTTGTGTCACTTGGCCAAAGTCTGCTCATCTATCGATGACCCTCGGCATACACAATCATTGTAGATCATGTCTCCAATTTGACTTTTATCTCAAAAAGACAGCTGGTCGCTTTAGTTTTCGAACGTATCACAACAGCCTTAGCTAAATCTTCTATACTGCCTATGTAACGTTCCCCTTTGTGACACCTCAAAACCGTCTGCTTTCCTTCTTTTTTTGTGTTTCGAGATGATCAATTTGAAACCACATATAATTGCAAATTTTTTTGCCCACTCGATAGCTTCTTCTGAAATAGTAGTAATAAATTCTAATTTATAAGTAATAATTATAATGTATAACACCATAATAATTTCTAACTTCTAACATAATAATCAGTGTTTTAAATACCGTACCGGTGGTCATACCGGTCTAGCCACCGGTACGCAGTACTACCGGGTTAGCAAATATAATTATATATATATTTATGTATAAAAATGTGTTATACCAAATGCAAAAAAGTAAAAAAAATAAATGACCATAATCATTAATATTAACTTACCAATGAGATAAAAATAAAATATTTTAACTACCAATTTAAATTTTATGTTTTTAAATTAATATATTTTTTAATTTTTTTTATGACCGGTATTTTGGACCGGTTTTTTCCGATATTTACGGTATGAACCCGGTACAAACCGATATAACCGTAAATCCGGTATTTTGTGTACAATTGTACCGTACCAATGGCCGGTATCCTGTATTACCGGCCGGTACGGTACGGTATTGAAAACACTGATAATAATAATAAATTCTAATTTATAAGATAATCAATTCCAATCTATAATACAATAATTTATAACTTCTAACAAAATAGTAATAAATTCAAATATATAAAACAATCAATTCTAATTCTATACCATAATAATTTCTAACTTCTAACATAATAGTAATAAATTCTAATTTATAAGATAATCAATTCAAATATATAACATAACAATTTATATTAATATAATTTTTTTCAAACTAATATCATTTCTAATTTATACTAATTTTCAAACTAGTATCACTAAATTATACTTCATAAAATAATCAATACTAATCTATAGCACAATAATTTCTAACTTCTATCTTAATATCAATAAATTTTATTTTATAAGATAATCAATTCTAATTTATAACTTAATAATTTATACTAATATAATTTTTTTCTATTTTAATTAATTATATCTTATACTATTATAATTTCTAATAATTAAACTAATTAATAATATAATTCTTTATATACTAATATAATT